GCGTCGCGGCACGTCACATGTGACGCCGGGTCACCGTGAGTTGGCGCAGCTGTGCTGGCCTGATTGGCCGACCCTCGGGCACCGGCAGTCTGCCGGTCCGCAGAGCCCAACCGAAAGTCCTGTATCGCGTCAAGTGACGTCTGCAGGACCAACAGATGACGAGTGCAACTTTCCGCCGGCGAGTGTGGGAATACGCCCGGCAGAGCTGCCGGCTATATTTACCCATGTAAACAGACGAACTGGTTCTTTCAGGAAGGCCGACACTGGATTACGCTTGCATCAGCTGGTCGATGGCTGCATGTCAATCACCCCATGCGTTCTGTACCCTGTGAAGGAGGCCGCAGTTTGGCCCATCATCGCCGCTGCCTGCTCTCCGCCACGACCTGACCTCTTGACCATCGACCGACCTCACCTCATGACCTTCGACTGACCTGTCCTTCTGACCTTCGACTGACCTTCCTCCTGCCCTTCGACTGACCAATCTTTCTGACCTTCGACTGACCTGTCCTCCTGACATTCGACTGACCTGTCCTCCTCCCCGCTCCCGCGTGATCCCCCCCCCCCCCCGCTTGGTCACCCCTCAATGACGCGGTCTCTGGCTCTCGTGACACGTTATATCCAGCATCAGTTTGGGAGCGACTGTTACAGCTGCATTACACACAAAACAAAACGTTAAAACCTCTGCCATGTGGATTTCCAGCCACGTCGGCATTATGGGCAATGAGAGAGACAATGCAGCGAGAGCAGCCGCGCGCCGAGGCTGTCCCTCCCGGTCAGTCTGCCGGCGGGTGGTCTGAAGTAGAGACCTTTGTGGGTCAAAATTATCCTCCCTGGATAAATTCTTATCCTCCCTGGATATTAAAATTATCCTCCCGTCCACCATCCTTAGCACCACACCCTGAGCCGTCCATCGGCCGTTGAATGCCAGGCTCGCCCTCCTGGCGCCCGCCCGCTTCACACTGTTACTTTCTCTACCTGTTTATAATCATCTCTTATCATCAATGTTATTTCATGCTTGAGGTAGCCAGTGCTCTTCAGTGTGATGCTTTCTGTTTCAAGGGGCATGAGCATGAAAGGCTGCGTTCTGTTGCAGACATACGCATTATTTACTAAGCTTTTGTCTTTGAGGGCGTGCACCCGGCGTTTCTCGGTCTCCTCGCACGTGATCTTGCCCGTGACCATGCCCGTAACCTTCTTAAAAACTGAACCTAGCTCAACTTGGCTTGTGGCCTGTTAAGTCCGAGTTCCAGTGCAGTGAGCTCACTCGATCAGCGAAGGCCACTAACCTGAAACCAACAGTGGCAAAGTATGTGATTTATTAGATGTGATAAAAGAAGTTAACACCAACCGTATTAACAACAGCCTTCATAACAGCATTGTTCATCCGCTCAGGATCATCAAATCCCTCACTGGCGATTGAGTATCGTCCCATCGTACCAATGGCCTTGAAAACTACTTCGTGGCGGCTACGGCTGGGGCACAACTACGCAGCACATTCCTTAATATAAGAAAGAAGGGCCTTCAGCTTCTTTTTCCGCCATTATGACTTCGAAGTTCTTATGCTCAAGTAACGACCTTCAATAGACCAGGAGGTGCTGGTAACACGACGTTATTGTCCTAAATTGCGGTTATCTTGACGGAGCTCAATCTGTCGAGCTGTGCTCATCCTCGAGAGTCAGCGGTCAAGGCCTGTGCTCTTGATGATGAGTACAGTCCCAAATACTGAACACCGCCAATATAAGCGTCATCAAACACTACAACATCGTTTTATCAACACGGCCTGGTATATGGAAGGTCGTGTGCTCAACATAAGAACTTCGACCCTATAGTGGCGCGCATTCCTTTCATCTATCGGGCTAGGACATGCCGCAGTGTGGGAAAGGTTGCGAGCGGTTGACTGTTGACTATGTTCTCATCTCGTGCCGTCACCATGTTAATGCTAAATCGGCAGAGTTGCTTTATTCCAGAACCTCTTTCTTGGCTTTTGGATCCCGATCCATGTAATGACATTGTTCACGTACCCGCCTTCTTTAGGGCGCATCGACTTTAACATTTTTGATATCCGCCAGACGGGGTACGCATATAATGTTCCAAATGCGTTTTAATGGGCAACCGACACTGTTGACCTAGTAGGATGGTTGCAACCGTTCTCAACGAGGCGCAACACGGCCGCGTAATCGACGCGCCCCCGAACACTTCCCACCATCATCACGGGCGTGCGGGGCGAGCGCAGACGGCCGCGGCCTCGGACGTGACTCAGGCGCAGCGGAACCGGCGCTATCGCCGCCGTGTCCGCGCCGCCGGCCTGACGCACGACCAGACCGTCTCCGCGAACGGCCGTCGAGTCCGGCGCGCGCGTGAATCACGACCCGGCGGCGTGAGGACACGTTTGAGCGACGCGGACGCGTGCCGTGAGGTCACGAGGGCGGCAGCGCCGGCGACGGCGGCGGCCGCGGTGCAGCCGCGAGGGGCACGGGCGGCGGGCGGCGGTGACGTAAACGGAGGCAGGAACGCCGGGTGTGTTCGATTCGTGCAGGACGGTAGAAGTTCTATGCTGGGTCACGTGACGTGGATTCTCAGTGTTGTTCGATCAGCACTAGTCTGTGGCAATATGCTTTTTGGCTGTCATCGGTTTGGAAATATTTCGTGACTTTCATTTCTTGGCAGAATTGCGTGGGCATCATTGCTATGGCGTATCATAACTTGAAACGGTTCATTGCCGACTCACACGAAGCGCTTTCGGTGGACAGCAGAGGCGTTGTTGGCCAGAGGACGGAGTTCAGAGAGCGAAGGCCAGAGGACGGAGGCCTTGTTGGCCAGAGGACCGAGGCCTTATTGATCAGAGGACGGATACCAGAAAACGGGGGGGCGGTGGCCTTGTTCGGTGATCTTTGCCTGCATTTTTAGATGCCTGACTGATGGGGCTACAGCACGCGGATGGCGTTCGCAAAAGCTGACCAGGCGCCCCGGTCGGGTTCAAACTTTCTCCATGCATTCACCTCTGTGCAACATCTAGGTTCTGTGCACGGACAACAGGTAGCTCCGTGTCGCAATTCCAGCGGTGTGTATAAAGAAGCATCTATGTCTGACATGGCGACGAACCCCCGGATTAAGAAGTCGGAATTTGGTTCTCCTGACCGCCGCGTTCCTCCACCTTATTCATTCCTGGGACCGCCGACGTTCAGTTCGGAGCGCGGTGTGGTCAGTCGTTCGCTAGGCACCACTTATGACCTCTACTCTGTTGTCTGACTTAATATGCTCCCTCCGTATTGGCATTGGCATTGGTTTTGGCTGTAACTTTTTTTGCTAGCACTTGCATGGCGTAATTTTCGATGGCCCACCTGTGCCAAATTTTTCAGGGTGAGCTCTATGGTGTCTTCACTGTCTTTCCTGTCGGAAGATTAACTGCCTCACCTGCTGCACGACTGCATGCAGCTCAGTCTTTACAAAAGGGAAGTAGAAGTGAGGCACGTGGCTTCTATTTCTGAACTTCTTCGAAACTCAAGGGCTGTGACATTTCCCGATGTTATTTGGCGCAGCGCAGGCTTCGCTAAAGGTCCAGCCTGAGTCATGACCTTAAAAACCTCGAGCGATGACAACGCTCGGAGTCAACACTTCCTGCTGCCGACGCGGGTCGGACACTGTCAGTGCACGAGGTACCGCGCCAGTACTGCGCCAGTACCGCGCCAGTACCGCTGGTTCTGATAGCGACGCCGGCCGCCGGTGCGGTGGTGCCGACGCCTTGCGTCGTTAACCCCGCCCCCAATGAGCCGGTGAGTGCCCCATGAAGTTCGTGCCGATGGCTCAGTTGGTTAGAGCTACTGCCTGCTGATTCACCTACCCGTGGCGAGGCGGGTTCAGTCGCTGCAGACGCTCGTTACGTACCCTTGGCTGGACTGACCCGCGGCCGAGGGCAGGTGCCGCGACAAGAGTCAAGTGACGTCAAGCTCGGTTTCCAAACTTTCGCTACCAAATTCTGCCGATGGCCTGGAATGTCGTGATCAGATGGTGGGGACATGGCTCACGCACCGAGCACTGCCTGACGTGGGTACTGATCCCGAAACCCATCCATTCAAAAGGTTTGGACTAAACATTTACAAAAAGCCTATGGACGGTCATGGACGCAGTCGGATACAGGCGAAGGAAGATTGAGAAACCGCGCTTACATCGGTCTTTTTATGCTTCCATGATGCGAGGTGCGAAAGCGGTCAATGTTGGTACAACCTGTCGCCGAAACGGAGGCACGAAAGAGATTTAATTTGCAATGTTTATGCATTTTGGAAATCACCAGATACGAATGTTATCGTACTGCTGCATATAGATGTGCATGCACATATGAGAGACATTGTATAAAATGTTTCCTATTTCACTCAAGAAGCCGTAAATGATACACAAACATCGATGTACTCCTGAGACATTCATTCTCGTCTTTGGAGCCGTTTTCATGCAATTGTCTGGAGCAGTTCTCGTAAAGAAGTCCCAACAGGAGGCCAAGAACTTATTTGTAGCGTTTTTGCCACGTGCCTACACCTCACTGGCATACCGAAAAATGCATGTCATGGAAATCACTTGTTGCAGACGTGGATAAGAGCATAACGAGATGCTTTGTACACTTTTCCTCGGCGCCCGCTCCGTCCCAATATTCGTTTCAGTCTCACCAGTGGTAGGCCCTTGCCCCTCTCCTCAAAAAATCACTTGAGGAGCTGAAAACGAAAACATCTATGCCCGTAAATCTGCTCATCCCAGTGTATATTTGAAAACAATGCTAAGAACCTCGACGTCCTGAACCGCTAAAGGACAAGAGGTGTCGCTACGTATAACAACTCCTATTTCAGGCAAGGCTGTGCACTTTGTTTGGTAGGAAGTAAATGTCACGGGCTACCTCGCAGCTGCCGCCGACCCTGGCTGTCGCCGGATTCATCCAGACGGACCGATCGGAGGACGCCGATGGGCCGTCGGGACAGGTGTCGCGTGACTCAGAGGTGCGGCACGCGCTGTCGCTAGCCGGCCGGCATGCTCACGTCTGACGCCCTGTCAGTAGGCACGGCCGTGGTGAGTCACGGCGGTCAGCGCCACTGACAGCCGTCGATGGACGCGGAACCACTGTTGCGGATCTGTGTGATTCAGTGATGGCGAGGTACTGGAGAGTTTTGCAGAGAAATGTCAGAGTTGACACGGATAACAATGCGCTTTGAAATAGCAGGTTTGGGACACCGGGTTCTAACGACTCCGCAAGGCACGTGAAATCGCTTGCATGCTTGGCGGCTACGGCGTTAAGAAAAAGGCGCATGGTTAGACTTACGCAATAAGCACCCAATGCTCTAGCTCGTCAAAGGTCAAAGAAAGCATGCGTACCTTTGTCATGTTCATAGCACGTTACAGGTAAGGCACGTGTCCGCGACAGTGTTTATCAAGGCTCGCGGGTCAGCCGGGCCGCTTCGGGAAACTCCGCAGTGGAGCCGTAGGTCCCGGGCGTCGAGGGAGGGGGGGGGGGGGGGAGCGAGCACAGAGCGTAAGGCTGTGCTGGTACGACGTCACCACTGTGATGCGGTCAGCTGTGTCAAAAGGTGAGGCTTGGAATACCGACCCGAGCGGAGAGGGTTCTGCCTCGATGGACAGGGGCGGTGAGAACCCGTCTGCAGTTCCAGTGCCTGCCCCAACGGAACAGCACGCCCGGTTTGCAGGGGATCCCTGCGCTGGGCTGGGAGCGGACGGTTTTTTTTCACCGCACAGTTTCACCACACGCTTCCCGGTTTGTTACCGGGGCTGGCAAATGAAATCCACCGAAGCATCTGGGCATCTGCTATTTGTGTATGCAGTGGCTCTTTCACCAGCACTGTCCGGGTATTTCATCCACCGCAACCACCTGGGAATTATTTGTTGCTTCCCCTGTCATTCCAGACATCGGATTACAGCAGTCGTATCGGAGGAAGAATGTCAACTGCCGGCCGCTGACTTCAGTCAATCCCACCAGGTGGCATCGGCATCTGTCATGCGACTGGTCATGTCACAGATGATCACACAATATCGATGCAAGGAATCCAAATTTTTGGAACGATTCCAGGAACATCGCTCCCTTTACGCCCTTTACGTCCTTCATGACCGATGTGCTCTTTAGAACTGTGCGGCACAGTACTGAACGGAACTGCACGGGGGGGGGGGGGGGAGGCGCAGCAGGGGGTGGGGCCGGCAGAGCGGGTAGTGGCCAGAGCGGGTTCTTGCTGCCGGCAGACAGGGGGCAAGAGTATGCCGTCCCCCCCCCCCTGACAAAAACTTGGGAGGCCGATTTTTTCCAAACTAAAGGCATTATAGCTACCCATAGGGCACCAAAAGTCAGATCAATGAGGCCTTAAGTCAGCTAATTGAGCTAGAGAATAAGGACTCGGGCTCAGAAGACTTTTTGCTACATCAAGAAAACCGTTTTCTGGGTTATGACGTCACGTTTATGGATAAGGTAGCCAATGCTCTAGATCACGTAAGCTGTTCAGTGCATTAGCGAGGAATATTATTCGCATAGATAAGATAGTAGCAACAGCCTTATTCCTCGGAGAAAAACCAGGGCAATGGAGATATAGTTGGCTTGATATTTCGGTAGCATGCCTTTATCGACACGATATCTGAAGTCATCTACAGAGCACAGGACCAGACTGGCAGTAAAATAAGTGAATCTATTCTTATGAAAAGTCGGCGACCAAATCTTAACGTACAGGACCCATTATGGCCAATTATGCGAACGTGATATGTGCTTTTATGTATCATGTGTGTTAGCATAAAATCGTTTCATTCGTAAGTAATGCCTGACGTGTAATGTGCGATGACTGTGCAATTGAAATCGCTTGCATGAATACTTGATGCGCGATGTGTGATGCTTGTGTGCCTCAACTCGCTTGCATGCTTGAATAAAACGTGAAGTGTGATGCCTGTTTGCTTGAATTCGGTTGCATGTATACGTATGTTTGCGTGTTCTAATTCTTAGACAGGCTTATGGTGGTGATGGCTGGCAGTCGCCCTTTGTTTAATCCCATGAATGTTGGTGCTCTGTAAAAACTGTGGCCTGCTGTTTCCAAAAAAAAACTGAAAAATCGAATAGGATCATCGGCAGGCAATCTTAAATTCACTTCTGCTATAGTTTCGATAAAGACATGTTGCCGAAATATCAACCGAACTATATCTCCATTGCCCGGGTTTTTCTCCGAGGGATAAGGCTATTACTGCTGTATTATCAATGCTCTAGGTCAGAAAACCCGATATTGTGTTCAGGAGCCCCCTTTGCTAGGGTCGGAAGTCCCCTGTTACAAACTAGTAGACTCTTGGTCTGGGTTAGGAGGCATCCTCTATATTCGGGCGGCCCATTTCTGGAACAGGAGGTTCCTTTCATGTATCAGCTGGCTGCGGTTCCGGGCCAGAATGTCCTGTTTAGGTTTAGAGAGAGCGTATGCTAGATAATTAGGAGATTCCTATTCTGGATTTTTAACTGACAACATTTATTTACTTTGATATGGCACACGTAACAGTCTGATAAGGGGGAGGTGTCATCAATGTCCCTTCCCCTTGAATACGATGCTGCGCAGGTATTTGTCCTGGAGGTCCTCTGGAAGATCCTGCCTCCCCCCACCCCCCAACTCAAAATGTGTGGCACCGCTCCTGCTGCACGTCAGAAATGCGGGAAACCGCATGAGAATGGGTCACTCTCGGACAGCGCAGTTCGCCCCAAACCGATCGAAGGCGAGCGGTTTTCATACAAGCGGCGTGCGGCAGATGGCACCACCAGCGCTTTTCCAGCGAGAATCGGCACGCGGTGGACGTCGCGGCCAGCCTCAGATGCGCTCCTACACACAGCTGGCAGCTCTCGCCGGCCTGTAAGCTGTATTGACCACAGGCAGTGTTCGGCTAGAAAGGCCCGGATCGCTGTGTTTAGAGAGTGGTTATGCTCGCTTGCCAAAGAGTCGCGCTTGGTTTCGTAAGCATGCTCGCAAGCCTGCTATTGCGAGTCAGCCAGATGCAGAAGACAGTGTGATGGCTCGCTGCCGCAGCCGACGGCGAGACCTGTCCAGGCCCACAGGCTTGACGTTGGCATCCGTCCGTATACTGCAGACAATACATTCCAGAACATTTACGAGAGTATCGGTGAGCTTCTCACGGCGTCCCGATCTGGAGGAAGTGACATCGTCCGACGTAGTGCGCTTGCTCCAATGATAGACCACCTGCGATCCGCGAATAACTTCATGACGACCGTCGTCTGACACCAGAGCCGTGTTTCGTGGTCTCCGCGTCGCCGGCCGGAAAGCCGACGCGAGTTTCCGGTGTTTCCCCAGAGCTCGTCAGGCAGGGGGGCCGGTGAGGCAATGCGGCGCGGGGCCGGCCGGACGCGGGCCGCCGGTCTGCATGACCGGTCACGGTCACCTCCGGTCCGTGTCATGTCCGTGTCCGGTGAGTGGCCGCCGGTGGGCCTGGGGCCTCGAGGGGCCTGTGGGCGGGCCAGGCAACTGAAGGCGCTCGACAGGGCGTGGTTACAATGCGGTTAAAGCGAAAGGACTGCTGAAACGTGTGCATTCACGTGTGCATGTGCAGCTGAAGGCACTCGCACGCCCTCACATCGCCCACACATCAGCACCTATGCAGTCTAACGCGCACGTACCAATAGTGAGGTTTTGTCGGCCGTTGGTGATTCAGTCAATACCGACCACGCCGCATGACCATCCGCCAGGTGGTCTGCTTCATAGCTTTCAGCGAGCTCCTCCTAGCTTAACTAGCCACCATAGCAAATGCCTGTAGCTGAGTGTTGAGCGCACTCGGGCTGAGGGCCCCGTTGTTTTCTATATTACATGTGGCAGCTGCAGAACCGTGCTGAAGACAGCCTGAAACGGATGAACAAATAAGCGTTGACGATTAGTTTCTCGGCGATGCTCTCGACAATCTCGGCAATTCACCACCCGCTAACCTCGATGCATTTCAGTCAGGATGCCGCCCCTGGCTTCCATCCGCTCTCCTCTTCACGCGACCCCCTTTGGCTGGATGACGCCTGCGGTCTCCCAAGGCTTCGAATGCCGAGATCATGTCGCGGAAATGCTGCTGAATGGCACGCATCGCAACGCCGGGGCTTCCCCGTGCTTATCCCTGGCATGGAGGTATCCCTGGCGGGTATCCCTGGAGGTATCCCTGGCGGCTTGGGGCTCACACGCTGGTCCCCGACCCCGTCGGAAGACAGGCGGCGCTTCCTCTGGCGCAAGGCCTGTGGTCTGTGCCTGAGACAGCGTGGCCGCACTGTTACACTGTGTCTTACTTATACCCTATAATTTATGGCTTCGAAGAGGTCTGAATGCACTAAGCCGAGAGCTTTACCCAAATATCCACCGGATCAGAAGATGACTAGCTCTACCTCTCATCGTACGTAGCAGGGCAGGTGGCGTCAATCCCCTCCTCGCCTACAGCAACCTCACCCCCACTACCTCCCGCCTCATACCTCCCACCCCAAACGACACTCAGGCGAGCCCTAAGCGTTAAATGTCCAGCACAGACGTACCTCAGTTGAAACAACACCAGGCTTACCTGCGCTGCGTCACGTCGAGATACCACCACGGAAACGGACCTGCCATCTCCCGGATGGCTTAAAAGGAGACATTTAGGTGACGTATAGGTCGCATATAGGTGGCGCTTGCGCGAGTGGGGTTATGTACCCGATGGAAATCCCGGAAGGTTGAAGAGCTAAAATCGGACGAATACGCTTCATAATTTTCCTATCACGAATGTTCTGATCGCATGCAAATGGCTCATGCGTGGTCGTGGACTTCATGCGACGTTTCCGAAGGATTGGAGCTAGATAGGTGAATAAATTATAGAAGGTTGAGGAACTTGATTGATCGATTAATGGAAGAATGTTAAGTTGGCCATGTTTTCCTAGTAGCGATGTAGTTCCAAATTCATTTGGGGCTTCAGTCCTTACTTCCCATCCCAGCTTATGCTCAAGTCCCTCCCCTTATCCTCTACAAAATTGAGGGAAAAGCTGGGCAAATCCGGGGAGAAAGCCGTTT